ACTTTGGATTGGAGATGGCAGATGTGAGTCTGGAAGGAGAGTTTACGGTCTAACCAGACACCTAGGTATTTGTAGTTGTCCACATATTCTAAGTCAGACCCGCCGAGAGTAGTGATTCTAGTCGAGCGGGCGGGTGCAAGCAGCGTTCGATTGAAGAGCATGCATTTAGTTTTACTAGCGTTTAAGAGCAGTTGGAGGCCACAGAAGGAGTGTTGTATGGCATTGAAGCTCGTTTGGAGGTTTGTTAACACACTGTCCAATGAAGGGCCAGATGTATACAAAATGGTGTTGTCTGCGTAGAGGTGGATCTGAGAGTCACCAGCAGCAAGAGCGACATCATTGATATACACAGAGAATAGAGTCAGCCCGAGAATTGAACCCTGTGGCACCCCCGTAGACTGCCAGAGGTCCAGACAACAGGCCCTCTGATTTGACACATTGAAATCTATCTGAAAAGTAGTTGGTGAACCAGGCGAGGCAGTCAGTTGAGAAACCAAGGCCATTTAGTCTGCCAATAAGAATGTGGTGATTGACAGAGTCAAAAGCCTTGGCCAGGTCGATGAAGACGGCTGCACAGTACCGTCTTTTATCAATCGTGGTTATTATATCGTTTAGGACCTTGAGCGTGGCTGAGGTGCACCCATGACCAGCCCGGAAACAAGATTGCATAGCGGAGAAGGTACGGTGGGATTCGAAGTGGTCGGTGATCTGTTTGTTAACTTGGCCTTCAAATACTTTCGAAAGGCAGGGTAGGATGGATATAAGTCTGTAACAGTTTGGATCTAGAGTGTCACGCCCTTTGAAGAGGAGGATGACCGCGGCAGCTTTCCAATCTCTGGGGATCTCAGACGATACGAAAGAGAGGTTGAACAGGCTAGTAATATAGGTTGCGACAATTTCGGCGTCTAATTTTAGAAAGAAAGGGTCCAGATTGTCTAGCCCAGCTGATTTGTAGGGGTCCAGATTTTGCAGCTCTTTCAGGACATCAGCTATCTGAATTTGGGTGAAGGAGAAGCGAGGGGGGTCATGGGCAAGTTGCAGCGGAGGGTGCAGAGCTGGTGGCCGGGGTAGGGGTAGCCAGGTGGAAAGCATGGCCAGCCGTAGCAAAATGCTTATTGAAATTCTCGATTATCGTAGATTTATCGGTGGTGACAGTGTTTCCTAGTCTCAGTGCAGTGGGCAGCTGTGAGGAGGTGCTCTTATTCTCCATGGACTTTACAGTGTCCCAAAACATTTTGGAGTTAGTGCTACAATATGCAAATTTCTGTTTGAAAAAGCTAGCCTTTGCTTTCCTAACTGATTGTGTATATTGGTTCCTGACTTCCCTGAAAAGTTGCATATCGCGGGGGAAGTTCGATGCTAATGCAGTACGCCACAGGATGTTTTGTGCTGGTCAATGGCAGTCAAGTCTGGGGTGAACCAGGGGCTATATCTGTTCTTAGTTCTGAATTTTTTGAATGGGGCATGCTTATTTAAGATGGAGAGGAAAGCACCTTTGAAGAACATCCAGGCATCCTCTACTGACGGAATGAGGTCAATATCCATCCAGGATACCCGGGCCAGGTCAATTAGAAAGGCCTGCTCGCTGAAGTGTTTTAGGGAGCGTTTGACAGTGATGAGGGGTGGTCATTTGACCGTGGACCCATTACGGACGCAGGCAATGAGGCAGTGATCGCTGAGATCCTGGTTGAAGACAGCGGAGGTGTATTTAGAGGGTAAATTACTCAGGATGATATCTATGAGGGTGCCCATGTTTACGGATTTAGGGTTGTACCTGGTAGGTTCCTTGATAATTTGTGTGAGATTGAGGGCATCTAGTTTAGATTGTAGGATGGCCGGGGTGTTAAGCATATCCTAGTTTAGGTCACCAAGCAGTACGAACTCTGAGGATAGATGGGGGGCAAGTAATTCACATATGGTGTCCAGGGCACAACTGGGGGCTGAGGGGGGTCTGTAGCATGCGGCAACAGTGAGAGACTTATTTCTGGAAAGGTGGATTTTTAGAAGTAGAAGCTCAAACTGTTTGGGCACAGACCTGGATAGTATGATAGAGCTCTGCAGGCTATCTCTACAGTAGATTGCAACTCCGCCCCCTTTGGCATTTCTATCTAGACGGAAAATGTTGTAGTTCGGGATGGAAATGTCTGAATTTTTGGTGGCCTTCCTAAGCCAGGATTCAGACACTGCTAGAACATCAGGGTTGGCAGAGTGTGCTAACGCAGTGAATATCTCAAACTTGGGGAGGAGGCTTCTGATGTTAACATGCAAGAAACCAAGGCGTTTACGGTTACAGAAGTCAACAAATGATAGCGCCTGGGGAGTAGGAGTGATACTGGGGACTACAGGGCCTGGGTTAATCTCTACATCACCAGAGGAACAGAGGAGGAATAGAATAAGTATACGGCTAAAGGCTTTAAGAACTGGTCCTCTAGTGCGTTGGGTACAGAGAATAAACGGGGCAGATTTCCAGGCGTTGTAGAATAGATTCAGGGCATTATGTACAGACAAGGATGTGGAACAAAGAAGCTATCTGAGGCAGGTTGAGCGGGACTGGGGGCTTTACAGTGAAATAGTACAATAACAACTAACCCAAACAGCAATAGGCTAGGCATATTGACATGGGAGAGAGGCATAACGCAATCACAGGTGTTATTCGAGAGGGCTAAGACAACAACTGGTAATGGCAACGAAAGTTTGGGCTGAGGCTAAACAGATAAACAGGATGGGGGTACTGTGTAAAGGAACAGTCCAGCGGGCATCAGATGTGTAGCTGAGTGATCATAAGGTCCAGTGAACAGCGATAGGTAAGTCCGGGAGCAGTTCGTAGGCTGCTACAGCACAGGCGAGCAGGAGGCACGGCTGTTGATTGCGCGTGCTAGCGGGCCGGTGCTAGCAGATGGATCTTTGTGGTCGTCGCAACGGGAAGCGTGTTGAAACCACAGAATAAGATCATGACCCACAGAATGGTACCCTCGCACACTCAGAGAGAGGATACTGGGGTAGGGTTTGGAAGTGATGTGGACCCTTCACTCACCCCAAGCTTTTTCCCCTCACTGCAGCCCCAAGGCTACCACAGAGTGAGCCTGGGAGCTATAGATGCCCTCACCCACAAGTATGTAAAGATACAGACTGCTACTACCACACTCAGTGGACCTGACTGCATACATACACATACTCAACCCCTGCTTAGTGGATCCTGAGTGAGACATTTTAGGAGATGGATACACTGGATTCAAGAGACACTCACACAGACAATACCACTCGTAAAACACAGAAAATCATTGCATAATTTTGGCATTGTTAGAATTGTACCAACTTGTACTCTACTAGCTACCACGATATGAAGCAAAATGCATAAAAGTCATAGTATTACAAATCCAATTTTGGTAATACTTTTATTCTATAATTTCATTGATTTTGCAAATGGTTTGAAGGAAATAAAGCATCTTTCAAGAGTTCCTCAGTTTCCCTTTTCAGGAGGCGTAGTCTGAAATGCTCCAACTCTATTTACCGAATCGGACCATATGACTCACGTCCAGCAAATATCCACTGTCTGGGATTACGGCAAATGTTAATAGATTACAGAATACATCCACTGAAACTAAGGTAAATGCACTCAGATTAGGGTCCACTGGGATCAGGGTTAATATGCATTGATGAGGGAAATGTTGACTTGGATTTAGGTGCATATCCACAGAGGTTTGGTCAGTCTCCACTGGGATCAGGGTTAATATCCATTGATGAGGGGAAATCTTGATTTGGGTTTCGACGCATATGCACAGGGGTTTGGTCTGTGTCCATTGATAAAAGGATTAATGAATATCCACAGATGGGTTTCCTTACAGTTTTGGTTAGAGATCTGATAACGTCTCTGCTATTCTAAGTATATTCTGATAGATCCATTATGGTCAGAGTACATGTCCATGTCATTTTGGGTCACATCTTTCTATAAGTTATATATTCTTTTCTATACTTTCTTTTCCTTTCAAATAACTGTTTCTGTCTGTCATTATCATTTAGATGACATGCCAAGGCCTCTATTTTTCCACCCAGTGGTTTGACAATTACTTACATTACACTGAATTCTGACCATACATAAAAAATATGTGCAAAGGTAGCAGTAGGCTGAATCACAGACAGAATCACATAAAGACCACAGAAAAAGCCTGGACACATGGGTGTAGCTAAGGTTGAGATAGTTTGGATAAAAGCGTCTGCTAAATGGCATATACAGTGAGATTAGCATTTCTTTGGGGGTAGGATATTTGTGCGTCTAACTTTCTCACTCATCATTATTCAGGATTCATTCAGGATTATCAGTAAGCATGGTAGCATCCACATGAATGTAGAAGTGTTTAGAAACATATTATATTCTTATTTACAATAAAAGTGACCCCATAATGACACATTATTTACCATTAATTTCTATTGGGCACAAAATATTCTGAAACACAATCAAAACAAACAGCAAATGCATCCAACAAATGTTGTAAAGTCACAAGCTTGATGTAGCCATTGTGTGCTATGAATATGGGACCAAATACTTAACCTAAAGTAGTCCCCTAAAATGGGGGGGACTATGTCCACAAAGTGCAGTAATTTCTAAACGGTTAACCCGATATGGATAAAAATACCCTCAAATTAAAGCTGACAGTCTGCACATTAACCTCATAGTCATTGTATCATTTCAAATCCAAAGTGCTGGAGTACAGAGCCAAAAAAACAAAAAATGTGTCACTGTCCCAATACTTTTGGCACTCATGTATATATTATTATATATATTATGGTTCCATAATTCCAGTACGCTTTGCTCCATGGAAGTGACCTCGATTTAGAAGCAGGGTCTAGTAGAAGCATGGTTGATGCAGAAGTGTTTTCAGACTAAAAACGCAGGAGTCAGCGTTAGTCCCAGGCGCCTGCTGCAGCTGTTTATGGGTGTGTCAGACAGGTGTCTGGGGGTGTTGGTCTGCAGATCCTTGCTACAGCTCAAGAGTTGATGTGAAAGATGCAGTAAGAGGTGTGAAATGCTGTGACATGTCTGTCAAACACGGTAAAGGGGGGTGTCAGACACAGACATCTTAGACTCTTTCTGCCTGCAGGCCCTTGCTAAGGCTCGGTGTGTGTGTAACACACAGCAAAGTGTATATCAAACGCAGTAAGGTGTGTGTCAAACACAGTCGATGGGGGCAGCCTTTCTCTTGCCCTGCTGGGCTTTGCCGCCGCTATGGCTGAGGATGGGGAAGGTGGTGCACAGGCATCCAGACGCCACTGTCAGCCCTAGACTGAGCCAGGCACAGAAGCTGGACCTGCTGTAGCCATGCTCCACGTCCGCGGGCAGCCCGTAGATGAAGGGAGGGACCCTGGCCAGGTCGTAGGACACGTTGGCCGCGTAGGTACACAGGGAGATAGTGCAGAAGATCCCTGAGAAGGAAGAGAGTGACCGCAAAGAGAGGAGGAGAGTGTGTGAGAGAGAGAAAATCAATGTGTATTTAAGAAAACAGACTATCAGTATCAGTTGTGTGTGTTGTAAACTGTACCTGCCATGAGAAAGAGCAGCCCAGAGACATGCTGAGTGAGACTCTTCTCCCAGGCAAAGCTGACAGACGCCACGATGCAGCCACACAACAGAACGGCTGCTGCCATACCCAGAAACCCTGCCGTGATCCGTCGCAGGTCTGATTCAAGGAAGAGGAAGGGAGAAGAGGGTGAGCACTTATGCAAGAGACACTGTTTCCCTCTCTGTAACCACTAGGGTTGCAAAGGGAGGGTATATTTCTGGAAACGTTCTAATCTAGTGGCCCTTTTGGGTACTTGAGATTATCACAGGTAAAATATATGAAAGAAAAAAAATAGAATGACAAAGCTGTAAAACATTAACCTAAATATATACCATGAACTTAGAGAATACCATTGGTGTTTAATATGAGGGTTTAAGCATGAAATATCCTTTATATTTTATTTTACAAACTTGTATTTATTTTACTATGTCAATAGGTATTTCTTGTCAATGTTTTGACGTCAACCTGCTGGCAGTTGTGAAAAAAGCCAATAGTTGGAAGAGTTGCAGAGTTAATTGAAAATAATGCCATTATTGATTAGATGCATTTTTTTCATTAATTAGGCCATTTTCTCTTCAACCATATGGTCAATCTACTAGAAACTCATGGACAATATGGACACATAATAAATACTATATATTAATATATTTTTTAAAAAGTTATTAAAGTTATTACCCCTCCATTAAATCTATTGATTGCCATAGATTTGACCAAAATTACTGAAGATTCTGGTAACTTTGGTAAATTGCTAAATGTAATTAATGTAAAATTAACATGTGCCCTCCTTTTGAATGGAAGGTAGTAGAAGAGTAATCAAAGATGTCTGGATGAATCATTTAATGAAAGGCTCATTGGGGAATCTCTTTCATAATGAGAAAATGTATTTACGTAAGAGGTGCCACTCATCCTGCTGGATGGTGCGGGTCAAGTTGAGCGGGATGTTGCGGAGCCGGATTGGCTGGGAGAAATGGTACTTGATGGTGATGCATCGCTGGGCTATACCTGCATAGAGACAAGAACTTGTGTGAACATAATGAGTAGCAGAAAAGGCAAAGTGTTTCTCAAGGAGACTTGTCTTGAGAAAAGCTGTGGCTGTTAAGTATTCATTTATAAAGTAGACTCCCCCGTTTCTACTTTTTATAAACATTTACGTCATTTAGCAGACGCTCTTATCCAGAGCGACTTACAGGAGCAATAAGGGTTAAGTGCCTTGCTTAAGGGCACATCGACAGATTTTTCACCTAGTCGGCTCGGGGATTAGAACCAGCGACCTTTCGGTTACTGGCACAACGCTTTTACCCACTAAGCTACCTGCCGCCCCGAAGGGGATCTATCACTTTAATGACATGATTTATTCTTCCTCATCAGGCTAGCATTCCTCCTCTATATGATTAGTTGCTATAGTCACGTACGTACTCGTTAAGGCTACTTTGATATTCAGACCCCCGTGTCACGTGAACAGACTTCATAATAAGGTTTTAGAGGCTGTACATTTGTATTTTCCCACAAGATGGCAGATTTTATACATCTTCCTCAGCACTATGAAAGCCTCTACACATGGCTGTGAGAAGAGACTAGTGAAAGCTAAACATGGGGAAATTTCGTTTCAACCCCAACAGACCTACATCTCTGATGGGTAACAAAAAGGGGTTACATTTTTTGAGTGGTGTAATATTGTCCCCTCTCTTGGAGGCAGCAAAGAAGACTAACTATGGCAGGGATCTGACCTGCTCCCCTTCCACAAATAATATAGGTCTACCAATATTACAAAAAGTTGCCCAAATAACATTTCCGTTTTCACTTGCTATATTAATTGGTCTAAAAAAATTTAACTTGAGAACCCGAGCTTTTGATTGACTTTAGTGAATTTTACGCACAGAAGGTGCGCGTCTATTGATTTGGTAAATACTGAATGAATCACATATATTAATTAATATTGATGTCACTTTCCATCCTCATGCAAATTATATGGATCATAGAAATATAATAATTTATATTTAACACGAAACGCTGCCTAGTTGCCTGGAGTATGAAGTACACACGGGGGTGCATGGTGGAAATGCCTTTCGTGTCAGGTCCAAGGTAATAACGTTGTTTTCTGTCAGATGCAGTCTAAAACTGATCAGATCGGAGCTTCTTTTAAGGTCTGTATGGTGGACACGCAAGCGCGCATGCAACCTGCCTACGCACATAGGCCATGGTGGTTATCCGAATTAATAGATTTGTTATGGACTGAACTTTGCACGCCCATGGTTTACAGATAGGCTAGACCCACACATAATCTCCGAGGACAACATGATAGTTTTGAAGCTATACATCTGTTAATAACAACAAAAACAACTTCACATCTTGAGTTATGATGGGTTAAGTCAGTTGTACTAAACTCATGAGTTTATTATTCAAGGGTCAGTGGAGGTATTATATAATTAATTGAATGGCCATTAAACAGCAGTGCATATGCCGGAATGTAACTTTTAATCATTTACAAATAGGCCTACCATTGCGTCGGATGTTTAGGCCTATATGTACAAGGGATGCGGTTTCACTGCACCGTACTGGACCCCGGATCAAATTCCCCACAGCATCTCTTACCCTTGGCAATGAGGTTGTCGATGTCCCTGTCCTTTCCTAGATAATAACATTTCCTCCAAAGTCCAGAGTAAGTGGAGAAAAGAGGGCGACCGCATTCCGTTTCTAAAATTCCCATTCCCAAAATTGACCTCCAGTTTTCCAGGAGCTCCTCCTCTCTACTCCCGACGTGGATCGCCCGGAGCAGCGCCTGGTTCCTCCGAGGATTGCTGCTGTCCATCAGGGGCAGGTGATAAATGGGCATCCGCCGGTTCTTCTGGTCGTTGGCGTCCGGCCCGAACTGGTCGCAGTTCTGCCTGTGCCGTGTAGTGTCCGTCTCGTACCAGTGGTCGGTCATGATAGCGGTGATGAGAAGTGCCAGTGATGCCAGGCTCATGGACAAACTGATAGCCGTCACCAAGGTCTGTTTCTCCATCCTGCGGGCATCAACATTTGAAGATTTGGCCAGGGAAGCATCCGTCACTCCTTCCACTTCACTCCTCCTTATCAACACGGGCTTGCAGGGCTTCATCATGTCCTACATGATGCCGAAGTGGCTGTAAGGTCCTGGCATCTCCGGCTGTGTGCAGGCACAAGAATAACCTGACCCGTGTTCCTGTTCTCCCACTTTGTCGATTCCCTGACTTTGGTATATCCTATAAATATGGGATGAGGAGGTGTGTATATATGTAATTCTGTGAGCGGGCGAGTCTCCGTGTGCTTCCGATTTCGAGGTTTGCGGGATGAAAGAAGAGGCGCGATGAAAATGTCAAAGCTGTCATGCTCTCCTGTCAGCGCAGCTGCGTGTGTCATTACCAATAAAAGTCCCTGTGTCATGAAAATTATAATATTGATAACAATACTACTACTGATTATTATTATTATAGTCAATTTAAAGGGGCAATCTGCGATTGGTAGGCTACATCCGTTTATTTACTTTTAAATTAATTACATTTAACCTACCCATTTGATTCTTGAATATAACTACCTAATCAGCTTACTTCAACTGTGTACCCATCAGAACCCAAAATATATGCTTATTTTAGGCTACTCCAATGTTTAAACAATTGTAAACAAATATAGCCTCAAAGCATGGTTTAAACTATAATTTTGATCTCAAAGATGGTCAGTCCTTGCATCCATATAGATCTGTTTACCAAAACAGGGGCGGGGTCATTACAGCTTTAATATCAACCAATGTAAAATAAAAATGGGGGGGGGGTTCATTATCTTAACTTGTTTTCATCAATCCTTCAGATATTTCATAGTTGAAGCACAGAACAACACTTCCACACTTTATCATAGTGCATTAAAATAGAGGGGTAGGCTATTTACTGATAAAAGGGATTTTCTGGAATTGTCAGATAGATCAATGATACTACAACATGGTTGGATACATTGTGCAGAGACAGCTCCCTTCCCCTCCCAGTCCGCTGCATCAGCAGGCAGGGCATTGAGCGATATGGGGACATGGAGCACAGAGGAAGTGCTTATGAAGATTTATTATAACACACTTATATTTGGTTTCTCATTCAGTGGGTGTTGTTGATATGCACTCAGCAGCGCCCAATGTATCAACGGGCCCTCTGTAAAGTAAGAGCAAGTCTATGTAGCCTACATAATTAGGGAGTGAAACTTCAATAAAGCTTTCTTTCTTAGCTATCTTTAATCAATATTGACCCTGAGCTTGACTTTCACCTTTTTACCCCTCCACCTTTTTTCTTTCCCCTCTCTCTCGCTCTCTCGTCCTGTCTGTCTGCGTGTGCGCTAACATAGGTGCATGGTTAATCTTCTTCCTGCTATGTTGAACAACCATCCATTAAATAAAAGGCTGGATTCCTGCCCAGAGTATTCAGCAGAAATAAACCACTCCAGCTATTGGGTATAAAATTAGAGGATATTTACTCTTCCCTGTTGTTTTGTTGAGTGAGGCAGGCAGACATGAACGTAAAATTAAAGCTTTCCTCGCATTTGTAAAGTTGCATAAATAAATGATAATGTACTCGAATTATAAAATTGTAAAAGCAATTGAGTGTGTTGGCAAGCAGCTTCAGTGACAGTCCTACACAAGCGTATTCCTCCTCCCAACTCAGAGTGCATACAGAGTACTCTGTCGTGCCACCACGGGGTGAAATTGAGTACAAGGGTGCTTTAAATACTTGTAACACAATAGCTACAGTAGCCTATGTTCCAATTGGACCAGTTGACACCTACTTGGTTTGTCATAATTCTTACATAGCACTTCATTATAAGACCATGTTCAGATTCAGACAACAGTCATAATACGTTGGCTAGGTAGAGAACATGTCTGTGTGGTCTAACTTCAGTGTGTCAACATGGCTGTCTGACCTCCATATTTACAGTTCTTCATAAGTATAAGAACTTATTGAGGGCCACTATAGAGGTCAGTATTGGTAATATTATATGGTCGTTATCTATGTAGGATCTACTCTGTTAATGACACATGAAAAGGTTAATTGTATGGATGTAAAATAAATAGAGAGAGGAGATAATTGGTGTATGAGTCAGTAGTGATTACTCATGAAGTAGTAGTTGGAATGTGGTTGACAAGCCCAGGAGAAGTATATGCCATGCTTATCAGACTTCGGCTCCAAGAGACTAGTCAACAACATCCAGACTAAAAAGTTGACTAATTAGATTCTAAAACCCATTAGAGCAGGGGAGTCAAACATCCGGCCAGCGAGGGGTTCCAATCTGGCCCGCGGTTGGTTTGAGTAAATGTTATATATATATGCATACATACAGTCAGGTCCATAAATATTTGGACATTGACCAAGTTATTATTATTTTAGCTGTTTACCACAGCATATTGGAGTTTAAATTAAGTAATGAATATGAGCTGAAAGTGCAGACTTTCAGCTTTAATTTGAGGGTATTTACATCCAAATCGGGTGAACGGTGTAGGAATTACAGCACTTTTTATATGTGGTCCCCCCTTTTTAAGGGACCAAAAGTAATTGGACAATTGGCTACTCAGTTGTTCCATGGCCAGTTGTGTGTTAGTCCCTCATTAGTTCATTTACAGGTAAGCAGATAAAAGGTCTAGTTGATTTCAAGTGTGGCATTTGCATTTGGAATCTGTTGCTGTTAACCCTCAATATGAAGTCCAAAGTGCTGTCACTGCCAGTGAAGCAAGCCATCATTAGGCTGAAAAATCTAAACAAACCCATCAGAGAGATAGCAAAAACATTAGGTGTGGCCAAATCAACTATTTGGTACATTCTTAAAAAGAAAGAACGCACTGGTGAGCTCAGGAACACCAAAAGGCCCGGAAGACCATTGAAAACAACTGTGGTGGATGACATAATAATTATTTCCCTGGTGAAGAAAAACCCCTTCACAACAGTTGGCCATATCAAGAACACCCTCCAGGAGGTAGGCGTATCTGTGTCAAAGTCAACAATCAAGAGAAGACTTCACCAGAGTAAATACAGAGGGTTTACCACAAGATGTAAACCATTGGTAAGCCTCAAAAACAGGAAGACCAGATTAGAGTTTGCCAAAAAAACATCTTAAAAAGCCTGTACAGTTCTGGAACAACATCCTATGGACAGATGAGACATAGATCAACTTGTACCAGAATGATGGGAAGAGAAGGGAAGGAACTGCTCATGATCCGAAGCATACCACCTCATCTGTGAAGCATGGTGGAGGTAGTGTTATGGCGTTGGCATGTATGGCTGCCAATGGAACTGGTTCCCTTGTATTTATTGATGATGTGACTGCTGACAAAAGCAGCAGGGTGAATTCTGAAGTGTTTAGGGCTATATTACCTGCTCAGATTCAGCCAAATGCTTCAAATCCCATTGGACGGCACTTCACAGTGCAGATGGACAATGACCCGAAGCATACTGCGAAATACTTTTTTAAGGCAAAGAAGTGGAATGTTCTACAATGGCCAAGTCAATCACCTGACCTGAATCCAATTGAGCATGCATTTCACTTGCTGAAGGCAAAACGCCCCAAGAACAAGCAGGAACTGAAGACAGCTGCAGTAAAGGCCTGGCAGAGCATCACCAGGGAAGAAACCCAGCATTTGGTGATGTCAATGGGTTCCAGGATTTGCAACCAAGTATTAAAACTCACAATTTAATTTGATTGTTAGTTTGTCCAATTACTTTAGAGCCCGTAAAATTGGGGGGCTATGTGTAGAAATTGTTGTAATTCCTACACGGTTCATACAATAATTTTGACAAATCCCTTAAATTAAAGATGAAAGTCTACACTTAAAGCACATCTTGATTGTTTCCTTTCAAATCCATTGTGGTGGCGTACCTAGCCAAAATGATGCAAATTGTGTCACTGTCCAAATACTTATGGACCTGTGTGTGTGTATGTATATACAGTGGGGAGAACAAGTATTTGATACACTGCAGATTTTGCAGGTTTTCCTACTTACAAAGCATGTAGAGGTCTGTAATTTTTATCATAGGTACACTTCAACTGTGAGAGACGGAATCTAAAACAAAAATCCAGAAAATCACATTGTATGATTTTTAAGTAATTCATTTGCATTTTATTGCATGACATACAGTGGGGGAAAAAAGTATTTAGTCAGCCACCAATTGTGCAAGTTCTCCCACTTAAAAAGATGAGAGAGGCCTGTAATTTTCATCATAGGTACACGTCAACTATGACAGACAAATTCAGAAAAAAAAATCCAGAAAATCACATTGTAGGATTTTTAATGAATTTATTTGCAAATTATGGTGGAAAATAAGTATTTGGTCACCTACAAACAAGCAAGATTTCTGGCTCTCACAGACCTGTAACTTCTTCTTTAAGAGGCTCCTCTGTCCTCCACTCGTTACCTGTATTAATGGCACCAGTATGAACTTGTTATCAGTATAAAAGACACCTGTCCACAACCTCAAACAGTCACACTCCAAACTCCACTTTGGCCAAGACCAAAGAGCTGTCAAAGGACACCAGAAACAAAATTGTAGACCTGCACCAGGCTGGGAAGACTGAATCTGCAATAGGTAAGCAGCTTGGTTTGAAGAAATCAACTGTGGGAGCAATTATTAGGAAATGGAAGACATACAAGGCCACTGATAATCTCCCTCGATCTGGGGCTCCACGCAAGATCTCACCCCGTGGGGCAAAATGATCACAAGAACGGTGAGCAAAAATCCCAGAACCACACGGGGGGACCTAGTGAATGACCTGCAGAGAGCTGGGACCAAAGTAACAAAGCCTACCATCAGTAACACACTACGCCGCCAGGGACTCAAATCCTGCAGTGCGAGACGTGTCCCCCTGCTTAAGCCAGTACATGTCCAGGCCCGTCTGAAGTTTGCTAGAGTGCATTTGGATGATCCAGAAGAGGATTGGGAGAATGTCATATGGTCAGATGAAACCAAAATATAACTTTTTGGTAAAAACTCAACTCGTCGTGTTTGGAGGACAAAGAATGCTGAGTTGCATCCAAAGAACACCATACCTATTGTGAAGCATGGGGGTGGAAACATCATGCTTTGGGGCTGTTTTTCTGCAAAGGGACCAGGACGACTG